TTTTTTTAGTCGCTTCATATTTTTTATAATTTTTGTTTCTTTAACAATTTTCACATAATTTTTGAAGGAATAGCTTTGTTTGCAAAATTGAAATTACTTTCGGCATTTTTGGTTTCATTTTCTAAAAAAACAAAAATTGAAAATATTAATTATTCCTTTTTTATAAGTTGTCTGTTTTTAAAACATTTTTTATTTGAAATTTTTATCAAAAAGCAGATTCTTACAGTTTTTAATAGTTTTCAAAATTTCTTCATTAGTGGTAAGAGTAAAATAGAAAGAATGATAATCACCTACCAACTTATGATTAAAAATTTCTATATCTGTGTATACCTTTTTGAAAGTAAAATTATTATCAACAAAAGATTTAAAAAACAATAAAAAGATAAATTTAAAAAGATGAAATAGAAAAATATGATCCAAAAAAATCAAATACAAAAAAATGTAGAGAAATAATAATTAAGACACCTAATTGTCTAGATGTTTTAAAACAATTTCCTAATTCTGTATACATTCTATAAAAGATAAATAAAAAAATATTATTTTTTGTTAGTTAAGTATTTTTTGGTCAACCCAAATTTGTAATAAAATATTTTGAAATTTAATAATTTGAATTGTTTTCAAGAAGGTGCCAAAAAAAAGGAAACGAAAATAACTAATAATAATAAAAATAACTGATAGATTGCGAAAATTCTAAATTCATTGAAATACTTTAACAAGTACTTTTTGACAATATTGTTTCGAATTTTGTAATTTACTCAAAAAAAAATGCTCTAAATTCTTAAAATAAGAAAAAATAAAACATTTCAGACTTACTTTGGGCATCATATCTTTCGAATGTTATAATTTTCTCAGAGGAAAATGTTCTAAATTCATTGCAATAAGCAGAAATAACACATTTCAGGCTTAATTTTGAAATTTTTTTACCTTGTTTTGACAAAAACTTTTGGATCTTTTCAATTTGGAGTTTCACAGTAAAAAACATTCTAAATCTATCGAAATCAACAAAAATTACACACGTTAGAACTAATTTTCATTTTTTCTTCTTTGTTTTGGCAAAATCTTTGGAATTTTGTTGGTTTCTCAGTGAAACACCCTGTAAATTCATTGAAGTAAGAGAAAATAACAAATTTTAGATTTGCTTTCATTTTTTTTTCTTGTTTTGACAAAAAATGCGCTAAATACAT